ATGTCAAATGGATTCAAAATTAATGAGTGTGACAAATGTGTTTAAAAACACAGACAAAGGTTATGTCATTATATGTCTTTATGTGGATGATATGCTCATCATAGGTAGTAATAATGACATGATTAAAACTACCAAGAAAATATTGAATAAACATTTTGACATGAATGACATGGGTATTGCTGATGTAATTCTTGGTATGAAAATTACCAAAACATCAAAAGGTTATGCTTTGTCACAATCTCATTACATTGAGAAAATACTTGAGGTAGAACACTCCTGGAAAAAGGAGTGGCCGACCGGCCACTTGAGGAGTGGTCCTTTGAGTCTATCTGTGCATTCATTAAGGTTATGCTTTGTCACAATCTCATCTTATGCTTTGCCAACAAAGATGATGATTATCTTGCTAGAACACCTGTAGATGTTAACTTGTTTCTATCTAAGAATGTACATAAAAGTATTTCTCAATTAGAGTATGCCCAAATTATTGGAAGCTTAATGTACTTGATGAACTGCACTCGCCCAGATATAGCTTATACAGTAAGTAAATTAAGTAGATATACGAGTAATCCGGGAGTAGAACACTGGAAAGCAATTATAAGGGTTCTAAGATATCTCCGATTTACTCATAACATTGGACTAAATTATACTAGATATCCAGCAGTACTTGAAAGATACTGTGATGCGAATTGGATATCAGATACTAGAGACTCAAAGTTCACCAGTGGGTATGTCTTTACTCTTGGTGGGGCGACTGTATCTTGGAAATCTTCCAAACAGACTTGCATTGCTAGGTCTACTATAGAATCTGAATTCATAGCTTTAGACAAAAGCTGGGAAAGAAGTAGAATGGTTTCGCCACTTCCTTGAACATATTCCAATATGGCCAAAACCAATGCCTGCAATATGCATACATTGCGATAGTTAATTAGCAATATGTAGAGCATAGAGTCATATGTATAACGGTAAGTCATGACACATTCGTTGTCGACATAACACCGTGAGACAACTACTCTCTAATGGAATTATTTCCATTGAATATGTGAAGTCTAAAGACAACATAGTGGATCCACCAACCAAAGGGTTAGCAAGGGAGCTAGTTGAGAATTCATCGAGGGGAATGAGACTAAAGCCTATTAAATAAGAGTTACCACAACAGCAACCCAACCTAGTTGACTGGAGATCCCAAGATCTAGGTTCAAAGGGACATCCGAGTTGTGTATGACTCAGAAGGATCACCGGGGAGTCTAGCTCCTACCTATTTCTTTGATGAAATAAGTGATGTCTGCAGCATTTTAGGTTAAGTAATACTTTTAATGATTCTTATATCTAGGTATACCTAGTGAAGTATGGAAGGATACTCTTCATAAGAATCACCTATGTGAGTGTGAACTGGGCCGGTTCTATGAGATTTGTGAAGGGCTACAATTCTCTAGAACATTCATGAAGGACCAGGTTGTTCAAGGCCAAAATGAACACAATAGTGAGAACTAAACTGTGTCTGGGGATATACTGTGTGAGTTCTATTGTCTTGGTTTACACAAACGGCTGAACAATTCAAGACATCATGTTCACTAGTTAGCTAGTAAATCCGATAGTGTCTCACAAGGGAAGATTCAAAGCCAAAAACTACCTATCCTTTGCAGAATATTTTCAATTTCTGTACTCTCTGTAATTAGATCATGTTGTTACATTTTTTCTCCGTCAAATTCCATTCATGTGGAGGATTCGGACTGAATGAGATAAAAATGGACAGAAAATTAAATCAATTTTTGGTACAAAATTTGAATTTCCCAAGATACAATGATCTTAACCAATTTGTAGTAACACTCCAAAACAAATTGTACGACGAACTAAACTTATGTTCTAACTCTCTGAAATTTATTCTAAAACTAGAATAAAGATTATAAATGCAAATGAGCAAAAGATGACTGCAAGATGAACATTTCAGACTGTTTTTTCAGATTGATTTTTGGATCACCCAAACTATTGGATAGTGCTGGATTAAACAGAGCCGAACAGGTGCAGAAATTTGAACTGAACAGATATGGTTTCAAATGAATAAGTACATATTGGAACTGAACACATAACTGTTGGAAATGTAGATTTGTTTGAACTGTTTGAATCTGTCAAACAGTGCCGTTTCAGACTATAATTGCTGGGCAGTTATGAGCAGTTTTATGCAGTTAATCTGTTACATAATTCGGATTGAAGGAGGCTCAAGTGTTGGACAAAAATTGGAATTCAAATTTGAATTAAATTCCTGCAATAATTTTTGAAAAAATTCAAATGAATTTTGTCCAAAAAATTAATATTAGAACTGAACCACACCGGCGGCGGCAGCGCGCGTGTGGTGGTTTGGGTTAAGGTTCACTTTGTCCATAACTCCTCTATTCTACAAACTTAGGGTGCCCCTTGAGGCCCAACCCAAGTGTTGTAGTCTAGAGCTTATATACACAAAAAACCTTTCTTAAAGTTTTAATGTGGGACAAACTATTTGAAGGAAACCCACATTAAAATCTTTAAATGTCCATTTCACGAACTCGAAAACGACGTCAACTTCCCATCACTCATAAATAATTTTGACGAACTGCCTTCACACTTACCACGCGGCATGAAACACTTCACTTCTTCGAACCCACCCCAATAGACGTTCGGGGCCTACTCAATTTTGAGCTCAAAATTAGCCCAAAATAAGCCTTATAAAAAACAATTTTCCAACAAATAATAAAGAAATTGCAGGGAAGAGAAAAATTTAACATTTGCTTAGAATGTAAGTGGTGAAACAATATAAAAAATAATACAACACATGTCCGCATAGTGACTTGGCTTCTAACTCTTTTGTAAAAAATATATGAATTTTTTTCATTCTCTTAAAAGTAGCCAGATGTAATATATTTCTCATAAAAATTCATCTTAACCAAACATGTACTAGAAAACTTTTTTTTTTTAATTCTTTCGGTTCACTTTTTATTATTTTTATTTTTTGTTATATATATACTTTTTCTCATGAGAGTGTTTGGTAAGGTAATTATTGTGACTCGGTGACTATAAGTGGTGTTAAGGGGATGATGAATGAAACTTTTAACCATTTGTTCAATATTTTCAGATTCAAACTCATAACTTTTCATATGCGGCACATGAATCAACTGAGGCAATCTAATTAATTTTTTTTTTCATATTCATAAAACAGAAAGAAAGAAACATTTTTCCGACCAAATAACACAAAAATATTAAGTGTGAAATTATTTTATTTCTATTTTCTCTAATTTTCAAAGAATACACTACTGAGTTTGGTTTTTACTAAAGTGTAGTATTATTTTTACAACTAGTGACAGAGTCATATATTAAAATAATTATATATATATAAACATATGTAGGAATGTTGTTTTATTAACATCCTTAGGGAAACCAAAGAGGGGTCTTTTTTTTTATTATTTTTTTTAAATACAAATAGTGTTGAATTTAGTTTTGTAAATTTTGAAGGTTCTAACCTACACCTAAACAACTTCTTTTGATCTTGAAAGGTTTTATTCCAAAATGTCAAAGGATCTGACTACCAATTTCATTTGCATTGTCTCAACAAAGAAAACAAGGCCTCCCTTTTTCATTTGTACTTTAATCTGAGGCAATTATGGACTTTTTTTTCCCTACTATTTCATATCCTTCTTGTTGGGGAATCCCGAATTTTAAAGTCATGACCTGCAATAATTTAACAAACAAAAAGGGCAAAAAAAAAGGGGGATAAACTACCAATAAATCTCAATAGTTATATTTAATTCTCATCAAGTTCAATTAAAAATAAGTTTTAACAAAATTGTTACTAAAAATAAATTTTTATGACTATTTTTTGCACACGTGTATAAAAATTAATAATTAGTGATTTTTCTTGTCACGGTTTTTATAAATTGTCGCTAAAACTTAGAATTAGTAGAGTTTTTTTGTGATGAATTTTTCAAATTGTCATTGAAATTTAAAAAATTAGTGACTTTTTTGTGACAATTTTTTTAAACTGTCGCTAAAACTTATAATTAATGACATTTTTTGTGATAAAATTTTCAAACCGATGAAAATTAATAATTAGTGACTTTTTTAATAGTGTTTGATGAAAAATACCATTAATTTTCATGCGACCTATTGGACAATAAGTTCACATATTAAGATTTATATGTAAGTCTCCCAAGAAAAAATTGTTTAATGTACTTCATTTTAGGGGGCCTGAAAATTAGGTAAAAACACTTAAAAAATAATCATACACCACTATTTGGAGAGCGAGCTCACCGTATTGTTTAGTAAAAAACGAAAGAATAGTTTTGCTTTATGCTAAACAAATGGCAGCAGACATATAAGAATTGCTCCTTTAAGACAAGATGTGGGAATGTATTAACTTTTCTTTCTGTTCTGTTTTTTTGGTCCATTACTCTTAATTCAGGCAAAAGGTGGGGTTCGATTTCAGGACTATGTGGGACTTTACCAACTAAATTAGCCAACATTTTCAAAATATATTACCATTTCATCACCTATAATTTATATTCCCTTTATTACCATTCTCTAATTTCATTCCTTAGGTTAACTGTGGAACACTTCAATTAGTTTTACAATTTTAGACTGCTTGATGGAGGACTCATCATTGTGAATATCTATTTCTATTATTTTTGGGTAAATCTATCTATTTCCATTATATTATCAAAAAAGCGTATAAGTTAATTTGGTATAAACAGTTTTATCACAGCCCGATTTCAAACTATCTCCAACAAGTGAAAATTTTGAATATTGCCACGTGAAAAAATAAATTGATTCAGATGTTTAAAACTCTACAAACACGAGCAATTTCTATTCATCTTTTTTGCTACAAAAACTTACAAAAACTAATATTGAAACATCATAAAATGGCGTATTCAAGCTTAAAGTATCATTTTTCAAATAACATTTTAAATACATGCTATGTTTAAAACTAGCAAACAACAACAACAATTTTTGTATTAATTAATTATAGGAGCTCCACCCATTTGGAAAGAAGACCTCCAAAAATATGCATATGCCACTACTTGCGACGAGCACATAATATTCTCTAGTAAAAGGCAAAAGAATAGTTCACTTTGTGCTCACCGTGTGGTTGCGTGGTTTGAAGAATTATTCGAAATACTATCTTATAGTAAGCTAAATGACACTCCTTTGTATCTAATGTGGGAATGTCCCATATATATTGAAATCTCACACTTCTGTTCTCATTCATTATTATTGAAATCTCAATATTCAATCTCAATGCTTAGTTTATTTGCCACGAGAAACCATCCAATTTTTTGGAACTTCTGAACATTGATTTTCACAGACCAACCTCACAATGCAACACTACTCGTCAAGATTCTTTTGTCTAATTCAATGACCGAAAAATGGATCCCAATTAGAGTTTGATATCCATTGCAATTTGAGTGTCATAGTTTCAAATCATGCAGAACCATCTCTCTGCACACACAATAAGACTATATATTTGAAAGATCATATCAGCAAAGCATTCTCTCCAATTCAACAACTATGGTGGGATGATTCAGGGCACATCCAAGAGATAGTCAAACAGCTAACTAGTGAACATTAGTAAAATAATTAACAATTTAAGTACCTGCCAAAAGAATAAAAAAAAAAATTTGCGTAGCTATTCATTAAATCTGGAAAATTGTCCATTATTCTATCAGTTTCCAGAAAGAATTTTACATGAAACTTATCCTTTGTAACCAAGCAAAATACATACAAATAAGAAATGTGAACTCTTACCCTCAACTCTTTGGTCTTAAGAATGAGTGATAACCTTACTGATCTCGTAAGTGGACATGACGGGTTTGTCAATGGATTTTCCTTCAATTTTTCTTGAGTTTTGTTGTGTTTGAACATTATTGATTAAGTCATATTGAAGTGGAATTTAATGCCATGTTTGGCAAAGCTAGCATGCAGTAAAAACATTTTTTTGTATTAATTTGTATGAGCTCCACCCTTTTGGGAAGAAGCCCTCCAAAAATAGGCATATGCCACTACTTGCGGCGAGCACACTATATTCTTTAGTAAAAGGCGAAAGAATAGTTCACTCTACGCTCATCACGTGGCTGCGCCCATCAAAGTTTGTGTTCATTAGGGTCTAGAGGAGAGACCATAGTTACTATTACTCTCTTGATGGGATCTTCTATTTCCCAGGAGAAGGTATCGGCTTTAACATGGGTAACTCTTTTCTCTAGAGATATTCATCTAGAGGATCTTCTTTTCTCATTGTGTCTGCTAAGGTGAAGAAGTTATTTGGCTTTGGGGGAAGTTTCTTTCCATAAGGTTTCAAGAAGGTTTCTATTAGAGGAACTTTTTCACGAAGACGGAAGTAAAGAAGAAGGGAAATTTTATTGATGAAAAACAAGCAAATACAAGCATCAACTTACATCAATAAAGGAGGTAAGTGTAAAAAGTATCATAGCTATCACTCCACAATCCCAACTAGGTTAGCACCAAGGAGGAAGCACGATCATATGCTGGCACAAGACCCACGGATTGGCAAGAAACTAATCCAAATCGAAATAGAGACAAAAAATAGAAAAACAGAAATAAAAAACCAGCCAGCCTCATAACAGTCACAATCTCATAGCAAAAGCAATACACCAACAAAGTCCAACAACTTTTAAACAACCTGCTTCAAGTTTGCAACAACATCATGCACTGAGTAATGCACACCCTTCATATTAGACTTAATCCATAAAGCAATTCTAACTTTCACCAGCTCCTCCATTTCTGCTTAGATTAGCATGATCATTCTGAAATAAACATTCATTTCTTAGTTTCCATACAGATCACAACATTGCCAAAGGGACAACCTTCCAAATCTCCAACTCCTTCTTCCTCCATTTCATACCAGACCACCATTGCAATAAAGCCTCCACAAAACCTGGGGCTACCCATTATACATCCCACCAATTCACCAAATTAGACCATACATTCCATACCAAAGGGCATAACAGTAACACATGATTTCCTGTTTCCACCTCTGCATTACAAAACACACAAACAGAACTTACATTGACATTCAATACTCCAATCCTATGCATAAAATCTGTAGACTTTATTCTCCCTCTTCAAGCTAACCAATTGAAAAGCTGAACCTTTGGAGGTGCTGAATTTTTCCACAGAAACTTTGACATTGTTAGTATATTATATGTATTATATGTTAGTGCATATCTATACAAAGCCACAGAGAACACACCTAAACTGTTTGCCGTCCATGAACAGGAATCCTCAGTCGTATGATTTAGATTAGGTGCTCCTGATAACAATACATTAAGCCTTTGAACCTCCTTTTCCTCCCAAGCTGAGAGTGGTCTTCTAAACTCCAGCTTCCAATCTATGTTTTACCCTTTTCTTTGATAGAAAAATTGCAATGAGCCTTTTTTCTCTATTGAGAGACTAAACAATCTAGGAAAGTCATTCCTTAGACTTCTGCTATTAAACCACCTATAAGTCCAAAAATGAATCCTCTCCCCATTCCCTATGATAACCTTGAAATTTTGTGCAAACAACTCAGCCACAATAGGATTTGATGAAACAGAGGATACAATACCCTTCCACACACTAGACACCATATCAAATTCCATTGCTGTTGGGATCCACCTTCCCCAATTCCACCATATCTGCTACAAACCACTTATTTCCATAATGGCTTCTGCTCTCTACCATACCTCCGCCACCATTTTAACAATAAATAAACATTAACATCACTCTAGTTTCTCACACCCAACCCACCTTAGGCTTTACTTTTGCATACCTCTTTCAAGCTTACTAGATGAACTTTCGTTCTAATCTTAGAACCTCTCCACAAGAAGTTAGATTGCAACCTATCAATTGTTTTAGCAGCTCCCACATGCTCAAGGTATGTGTAGAAAATTCTAACGGACTAGGTTGAGGTCCGGCGGGCGGCCAAGGCGAGGTTGCCGCCCGTCGGTGAAGCGAAAAATATTAGGTTCTAAACCTGCTCTGATACCATGTTAAGTTAGATTGAAACCTATCAATTGTTTTAGCAGCTCCCACATGCATTTTAAATAATGATAGAAAGAACATAGGTGGACTTGACAAGACTAATCTAATCAAGGTCAATCTATCAACAAAGGACAAGAACCTCCTCTTCTATGATGCTAACTTCTTTTTAAACTTTTCCGCCATAGGTTGCCATGTACTTCTTCTCCTTGGGTTTGCCTCTAAAGGTGAGCCAAGATAAGTAAGTGGTAATCTCTAACTCATGCAATTGAGCTTTATGGCAAACTCCTTGACCATCACCTCTTCCATACCTATCCCACAAACAATACTTTTATGAAAATTAATCTTTAGACCTAACATTACTTTGAAGCACCTCAGTATTCTTTTAATCATAATGATTTCCTTTCATTCAGTTTCACAAAAAATTATGGTAGCAGCACCGAACAAGCAACACCTAGAACAGTTCAATAGCAAAATACCATAGCATCCACAAAGACCACTAAAAGCGCCAAAGAGGAGATAAGATCATAAAGGCAATCAACAACGTCTTTTTGGGTTGCAAAGGGGGCCAGTCTTGTGCCAACTTTCACCTCCATCGTGCCGTGCATAAGGGCAAGACGGGGTGAATGCTTTGTTTAAACGCATGTTCCATGCTGCATGCGGGTCTTGAGTTGAGAACATGGTCCAAGTAGCAGTGGAATTCTCATATCTACTATGTGTGATGCGATTGAACTTCCTCACACTCGTGAAGTTATACATGGCAATGTCGAAAGTGAAGATATCTCCGTAAGGCCTCATAGAGTGCAGGAAGTGAGGCAATGGGATGGGATCAACAGACACTGCAGCAAGATCTGCAGTCACAACGATGCTCTTTCCATCCGGACTGAAGAATGGGTGGTTCACATGCCCTTTACAATCAGAGCTACTTTCCATCACTTTTATTAACACTTTCGAATCACTCACCTTCACTAGAAACGCCGCAAAGTATCCTGGGTCAAGATCATGGTCCTTTTCTGGTGCACTTTTAGGCTTCTTGCAGGTTGACGAGAATACTATCCAATCTCCCCTTGGGGACCATTGGCAATGTGTGTCAGTCCAAGGCCCATTTGTTAGCCTTGTTATTTCACCACCTTGTTGACACCCTGTTTCTCCAATGTCCATTATGTATAGATTCTTGTATTTTTCATTCCCTCCTCTTGTAGATCGAAAAACTAGTTTTGTCCCTGTTACAATTTTCAACCCATCCATCCGCACAAATTAAAACTGAAAACTATAATATTATAATAAAGGGTCTTCTGTTATTCAAAAGCATATATATTAACATTGGAAAAAGCGATAATATTATAATTAATTGCTGACTTGCTAATGGGTTGCCCAAGGATTGGTGAAACAATTTAGGATTTCTTTTTTATGAATTGAACTTGAAAGGAGACTCATCAGTAAGCTATCAAAAAACTTAAATTACTTTCAATGGATAAACTGAGTGCTCCACCAATTAATTCTTGAACTAACATTTTATCCCAGCGAGGAGCCATGCCAGTATATACTGCTCTATTATAAAGAAGGAACAAGTAGGAAGTTACCGTCTGGATTGGTGGATGGGAAGGCATTGTTGCAAGTAGTTGTGAGTGGTACGCAACGCCCACCACTGGACAAGTCTAAAGCGTAGATGTTTAGTGGTTCTTTAATGTGAAAAGAAGATCCCACACTAACATACAATACATACTTGTTTGGATTTTGGTTTCAAACTAGCGAGAAGATTTCGAGCGAGTCTGCCCTCTACATGAACAAAACTGGTCATTGGCTATCGATCAAAGATAAACACAATTACGCATTAATACAATTATAGTAATATTATTCTTGTACTTGTGTACCTTGTAAACAATATGCCAACTTTTGTTTTCGGCATTTTCGGCTACCCACACGGCCTTGAACTCATTGTCCACGAATGCAACCTTGGAGCCGTCTTTGGAAAATGTTGGAAAGATTCCCAGCACCCTAAATAGTCCTACATCCGGATGTGGAGATTCAAGCTTGTAGAAGTTTCTTTGGATATCGTTTCCACTCTGTCACAAAGTAACAATTATACATATGTAGTAGGCTAGCTCTTAAGTTAATTAAACATGGCTGGCTAGAAAAAGAATTCAAAGGTCGAGTAGTTTGAAAAGTGGTTAATCGGTATGTACCTTGAGATGGTTGCTGTCGCAACGATGGTAACTGATGCGGTTTCCATCATCTATCACAAAGGGGTTGAAATGGTCAGCCTTTGGCATGAATCTTTGAGTGACTTGTCTTGGTAGCGCTCCAGTTGAATCAAAAATCTCAATGTGCTGATACTGTGCTTCTTCTACACGGACGTCCGATAAATTTGATTTTTGACGAATAGTTGCCACTACCACTGTGGTGGCGTTGATGGCTGCTAGAGTTATCGCGTCAATTCTATCTGGGGTCGCACGACCTGGCTTACCATTGTTGAGGTCGACACGGAACACACCCCAAGAATCCCCTACCTTGCGGTGGAAAAATATGACATTGTCACTTCCCCATATCGGCCACCCACCATCACTTACAACCATCTTGCGGTCGGACGGATCCTCTACGCTCATCACAAAAATGTTAGTACGTAGATAATCGATCTCGCCATCCCAACCACCAGGCTTTTCCTAGAACGACGCCACCGCTATCTTTGTTCCGGATGGGGCAATTGAGGGGTTTAAATTAGCTTGCCCTGTTTTGTTTTTGTTGGAGTGAGTCCAGCACACTCTTGCTTTACACCTCATGCCAACATATCACTCTTGCTGTGTTGGAGTGAGTCCAGCACACTCTTGCTTTACACCTCATGCCACCATTATCACTTTTCCTTTACAACTGATACCAACAGATTGTAGCCTTTAATATTGTATAGCCTAAGATTAGCTTCTTAAAATAGTTTTTTGGTATCTCTATAAATTGTACTCTGTTTCATCAAATTAATATACAAGAAAAGAATTATGTTTGATATGGTATCAGAGCAAGATCTTGGGTTCCCTGTTTTTTGATCTGACAGGGGTCCAGATTTTTCTCGGCCTCCATGGCTGAATCCACTGAAACCATCTTTGA